TGACTGTTGCTAATTTAGCATAACATCTTTTACCGACCGTTCTTCTTTCTCTCCTATAGACTAGTAGAGCTTCTTTCTCTCCTATAGGCTTTTTTTTTTTGTGTGTAAATCCTATAAATATAATATTGGTTTGGACTTGGTGGGGACTCAGAGTACTCGGTTTTAGTGGGAGAAATAATTGTGAGAGATCCCTTTTATTATTGGGTTCTCAAGCTTGACTCACCGGTTAATGAGATTACCGACACTACTTTCAGGATTTCAAAACTTACATCAGGCAATTTTGGTTATTGTTTTAGTAGTCTGGAGTATCTTTATGTGCCTCTGTTATGTCCAGAGAACAAAGCCTTTGGTGTTTGTTCTTTGCTTGTATAGGAACAGATCTGAGGTTTTGGTATGAATCGTAAACCTGTTTTATTGCCTAACCTTTGAGCCCTTTGGTTTTCTAGTTTCTGCAGTTGGAATAGCATTTGCAGCCGCAACTGTTATCGTATTTAGATCAGCCACTTTGGTTTTAAGAACATCAGATGATTGTTTGTTCATAGATAAATCATTAATACTAACCCTAAAGACTGTATAATTTCAGGCCGAAGACATGTTGAGGAAGTGGCATATTGAGAGTGAGTAACGATGGTATGGTACTATAAACCAATCTTGAAGGAGCTTTCGAGAATTCTGGGACCCAACAGATCTTAAACTTTGTTGAGACTTAGGATAACAGTCTTACTACCAAAAGTGAATATCTATAAATGTATGTAGGATGAAATAAGATCTTTTGTAAAATATCAGATTGTGCTGTAAGACTGTAACAAGTTTCAATGTTTGCTAAGAAAAGTTGATGTAGTTTGTGTATACCATAGTAGAGTTTTAATTAGTTTGCAGCGTTTCTACCTTAGCATCTCAAGCCAGATTCCATCTTATACTATGATCATCACGAGGTTCTGATGTAGTATCCATCTCTAAGCACATCTGTTCCAGGAGATACTATATCAGAACCTCGTGATGACCATATCAGATGGAATCTGGCTTGAGAAATGCAAGAACTCAAGATTAAAATTTTGGCTTTCTGCAGAAATGTTCATATGTAAAACACCTATGCCAAGAAAGAAACAAGTGGATTATATTCCGTTGCAGCAGATGAGATGAGTTTTGTTACTTTCTATACTGGAACGTTGTAACTTTGAAATACAAGTCTCTCGTGTGTTTTGTGTCTTATGTTCTTATCATCTAAAGTATCTTCAACATGCACCTCTACTTCCGGCAATAGCAGAATTTGCAATATCTAATCTGAAAAAGATAAGGGTGAGGTTTCAATGGCTATTCATTATATAACAAATTCCTAATTACTGTGGCAAAGTGTTCAAAATAATTTCTGAGTCCGACGACCATGAGAACTTACACAAGTGTCCTAGTTGCGAGAGCAATCACCCGACGTAAGAGTTACGTCTGGTTTAAATTGACGTTAGAAGCACGTCTAATTATATGGACGTAAAAGAAACAAGACATGGTAAACCCTACTTCGGGTGGGTATAAACGTTCAATTTGTAAGCATGATTCCAAAAATGTATAACTCCTCCGTTGTTTGCTTTCTTGTTGGAATATCACTCTTTGTCGATTCAAAGCCTATTCCATATATCTTCGTGTTTTGTCCCTAGTAGCTAAATATCGACCTCGATCGGAATATAGGTTGGAGCCACACAAAGTGGAAAATTCCACAACTGAAGAAGAGTCAAGGCAACGTGACTTAAACTCTTATCATCGTTAATACTTTATACTATGTATATACTATCAAGTTGTTTTGGCTGAAAAACCAGATACATACATACCAAAAGTTTCATCTTCAATATCTTTGTTTTGTTTCAAAGTCTTTATTTTCCAGAATGGTAAAACCGTGTTTCCATGTTTCTTCTATCTCATGTTTCCTCTGTTGGGTCTTTATCTCCAGCTTCTTTATCAGCACTCTTGTTTCTCTCCCCTCTCTTCGTTCGGACCAGATTGATATCCTTATGGCGTTGAAGAACGAGTTTCCAATCCTCAAATGCAACTTCACAGAGTTTCCTGATTCAAAACAAGTGACAAAATCTTGGACCAGCAAAGACGTTAAGTCCTTTGAATGGGTTGATTTTGATAACGAGACTGGTGTAGTGACGGAACTACAATTAAGTGGTGCATGTCTGAGTGGAAGTCTCAGTGCTAATAGTAGCCTTTTCAGATTACACCACCTCAGGTACCTCGATCTCTCTTACAACTATTTTGACTCCTTCTCATTCCTCCCCGAAATTGGCAATCTCACAAACTTAGAGTTCTTGGATCTTTCTAATATGGGCTTAGTCGGTGAAATTCCATCCTCATTCAGTAGCCTAAACCGTCTGATGGATTTGGACCTTTCCGATAACAAGCTAATCGGCAATTTTTCCCCTCTGCTCAATCTATCAAAGCTCTCTCCTTTATATCTTTCCAATAATCACTTTTCTGGAAACGTTCATTGTTCTCTCCTCACCATGCCTAACCTGTCAACTCTTGTTTTGAGCCAAAACCATCTCATGGACTCTCTTGAAACTATGAATTGCTCTTCATCATCTAACCTTGAATATTTGGACCTTAGCAAAAACCGTCTCAGTGGTAGAATCCTAGAGCCTCTCTCAAAATTAACCAACCTCAATTACCTCGACCTATCTTCTCAGAACTCAACCGACCCAATCAACTTCGTCTCCTCCTTGGGCTTCAAATATTTAGTGACATTGAATCTTTCCGTAAATGTTATATCAAGGCTTAATACCGGATCACCAAATTTGAGGGAACTATACTTGGAAAACTGCAGCATCAACAAGTTCCCCACATTTATTAAAAACATACAGAATCTGGAAATTTTGAAAATGGCCAACAATAGACTCAAAGGAGAAGTGCCTAAATGGTTATGGAGTATGCCTTTTTTAGATACACTATCGCTGGCTGACAACTCCCTCGAGAGTTTCGAAGGATCGCCAGAAATGCTTCTCAATTCGTCGCTTGACTTATTAGATCTGAGGTCAAATGCTTTTCGAGGATCTCTCCCTATTATTTCACCAAGATTGAGTTTCATGCTTGCATCAAATAATAGTTTCACCGGAGACATACCTCTTTCATTGTGCAATCAAAGCGACCTAGGTGTCCTTGATCTAGCGCACAACAATTTCAGTGGTTCAATTCCTCCATGCTTGATTACATCAGTAAATGATTTGAATCTCCGAAACAACAATCTCACCGGGAGACTTCCCGACATATTCAACAAAAATGACTTCCTAAAAGTACTTGACGTCAGCTACAATCAAATAACTGGGAAGCTTCCAAGGTCTCTTTCAAATTGCACACAGCTAAAGTATCTAAACGTGGAGAGTAATAGGATTGATGACACCTTTCCGTTTTGGCTCAAGGATCTACCGCACTTACATATCATGGTACTACGATCAAACATGTTCCATGGTCCTATCTATTCCCCTCAGCATCCTCTGTCATTTCCACAGCTGCAGATGGTTGACTTATCGCGTAACAAATTCACCGGAAGTCTACCACATGGTTACTTTGTCAATTGGAGTAAACACTTGACCAGTATTAATCCCCCACGGGAAAGATGGGATATGTACATGAACGATGGTTTCTCTACTGAGTATTATCCTTCCATGTATCTGAGAAACAAAGGAATAAACATGGAGCTGGAAAAGATCCTTGAGACCTACACATCCATTGATTTCTCTGAAAACAAACTTGGAGGTCAGATTCCAGAATCCATAGGCCATTTGAAGTCACTTATTGTGCTCAACCTATCCAGCAATGATTTCACTGGTCCTATTCCATCTTCTTGGGCTAATCTCACAAGGCTCGAGTCACTTGACCTATCTCAGAACCAACTTACTGGAAAAATCCCGCAGGAGCTAGCAACCCTAACGTTCTTGGAGTACATTAACGTTTCACATAACAAACTCACGGGACAGATACCACAGTCCACGCAGATGGGAGGACAGCCTAAATCATCTTTTGAAGGAAATCTCCATCTTTGTGGTCGTCCTCTTGAGGAGAGTTGCTTCAGTGACAAGGTACCATCAACACCAGAGGCACAAGAGCCAGAACCTTCAGAGCAAGAGCAAGTGCTGAACTGGAAAGCAGCAGCAATGGGATATGGCCCCGGAGTCTTGTTTGGATTGGCGATTGGACAAGTTTTCTATTCGTACAAACCTGTGCTGTTCTACAAGTTGTTTCGCCTTTGAAATGATGTTTTGATGTTGCTGAAATAAGTTGTAAGAGTTTTTGTAACCGTTCCGACATAGATATGTATGTGTGTGAGTGATATTGAAGTTAAGTATTATGTTATCAATTAAAAGTGACATGTAAGTCTCTTGCTCATTTGGCTTAGTAGATCAAATTCTGATTTTTGTAAACTAAAATAATATCTTTGGTTAATAAAATATGTGGTCTTGATTTAGTTCCTAAAGATTATATGTATTGTATAATTTTTGAAGCATGTAGAGCCACTGTTCTGTTTTTGTTGTTGTCCAGGGACAACCACCTTGTAATAACTTGAAGTCTTTATTGGATTGACCATGATTTTGTCTCTACCTAGTCCTTATCCTTCGCATGTTTTTATCAAATTTATCAGAGAATCTCACCATGCCGCTCTTGTTCAAAAGGCTCTCTGTTTAATGACAAACCTGATGATTCAGAACAACTGATAAACTCTCAAGTGCAGGAATTGTCATCACCTTGAGATCATGATTCATGATCTCAGCAGAAATGTGGCTGAATCTCTCTGCTCAAGCTTCTAAAGATCTCAATGATCTCTCTCTCTGCCCTTTTTATTAACTTTTGTGGAAGAGGGGACGTGGAAATGTTTCATGTATGCTCTCTTTGCTCGTTACTCCGTCATTTTTGGGTGTTATACAAGATTTAGTCTGTAAGGCTGTAAAATGATCAAAAACATTATAAACACTACAAAGATTAGTTTACGTAAATAGAGTAAGGCTGGACAAAAACTTCGGAGTATGTAATATTAATCAAGATGCTAACACACCACATACATTGTTGCTGATCAAAGCACAAACATAAAACGTTGCAACTACTTGGTTCTGCAGTCAACTGGATATGCCAATCTCATTCACTAAAAGCTTTGTATGATACCAAACAATAGCCAATGTGCTTGACAAGGGACCTTAGGCATGAACATAATCCTTGCTGTCCAAAAAATGTTATGCTGATCCATCATTCTACTATTTTCCCTTCTTCTAGTCCATTGGTGTCCAAATCAGTAGCTAGATTTTGGAGATTGCAGTACTCATCATCCGAATCAAATCCATTTGCAAACTCACATTCAAAGTTAAAATAATCACCTGGATCAATCTCCACAAAAATATCAGAGTATATGTCTATTAATCCTTGCTCAAACTCAAGCTCCATGTTCTTCTCAGCAGCATCCATCCCGTTGTTTTGTTGGATCAACCTGAGTATCTGAACTTTTGGTATCCCCTCTCTCAACTTTGCTGTCCTCTGAGACTTGTGTGATACAATCAATAACCTCAGGCTCAAAGGAGTTGATGTCCTCTTCTTTTATTTCCTCTTCTCGTGAGGTTATTAAACCAATAGGATCAGGTGTGGTGTTTAAATAGTCGAAGCCTCTGCTAACTTCAAAGCCATAGCTCTGTGAAGGTAGATACACATGGATCACAGGGTACTCAACGATAGCTACATTGGCAAGCTGATGCCTCAAAGGAGCCTTGATGTCCAGCTCCTTGAAAGGAGCCTTTGCACACTGCAACTAAACAGGGGGAGAAAAGTAAATATATAGTGTAAGGAAAGGACGAGCAGAATATGATAGTGAGTGAGAGTACCTTTGGGTATTTGCTAATAAAAAGTTTGAGGGAATCATAAAGATTCACATCACAAAAAGGCTTGAGCTTATGAATCCAAGGACCTGGCTTAAGATGATTCTCTATCACAGAGCAAAGACTTGTATCTTCACCAACTCTGTGATGGAATCGTTTCAACGTCGTTAAATAGAGCAAAAAAAAAACAAAAATTAAATAGTAAGTCAAAAGAGAAGAAAATAACTAACCCATGGTCAAAAAGAGCCACATCTGTGGAGTGAAACCGCCACTCAATTGTCCAAGAGATGCACTTACTCCTTGAAACAAAAAAAAATCATTACAATCATAGAGTCATCCTCAACCTCAACAATTCTTTGAATAACAGTAAATGATTTTTACCGGTTATCATAACGACTCTGATTCCTCTCCCGGTTCAACATTCCACTAGCAAGAAACATTAGATCAGTTCCTCCCTTTGCAGCAGCAGCTCGGAGTTTACTACGCTGAGTTTCCTTAAAGTAGGGATTTTTACAAATCTGAATTATCATTCTCTGAGAAGACTCAGTTACTCTCTTTGTCTCCTCCAGCATTCTGTAGTCTTATCATAGCAAAAACAATAAGAAGAAGATTACAGGAGATCATCAAAAGCATTAAACTTTTAATGTGGATTATTACCAGAGAGAATGAGATTATCGTCGAACTGGGAGAGGGTAATGAAGTCCGTGAGCTTCCTCTTGCCGTTACAACCTGTTCGATGCTTGTGAGCTTTCACACAAGGAAGGCCACACGATCGGATTGAACATCCTGGACATTTGTACTTCCATGTTTTCAGCTTGCATTCCCCACAGACAGAACTACACATTGTTTTTTGTCTATTAAAATTCGAGATTTGTTGTTCTTGGTCGTGGTCTTCGTCAAAGGTTTAGGAGCCGTGGGAGGAGGCGTTAGGGTTTTTGTATGTTTCCAATTTTACGTTTGTAGTCCCCATACTTATAATTTAGTGGCTGTTTATGTATTATTTAAAGTTTATGGGTTATTTTAGAGATTATTTGAGGTTTATGAGTTATTTTAAAAATAAACAAATGATCTTTGACCTTCAACTGAACCAGAAGGTTAGGGGAATATTAAACATTCATGCGGCGCAAAGGAGCGAGACATTGAAACCGTTACCAAAGCCATTACCTCTGGATCTGATGGAAGCAGCTGCGCCAAGTGATCCAGCTGATGAAGATAAAGAGGTTTTATGTTTCCTCTTCAAGCAGAGCAGAGCAGAGCAGAGCAGAACATATTAGTCCAAGCTCATGAACAGTTACTAACTGAAGCTTGATTCAACTCTCAGGACGAGGAGTCAGTGAAGGAACTTTTAGTAAACTTGAGATTGAACAGAAACCAAAGCTCTCGTGAAGAAGATGAACACAAGAGAATCTGGAAATTATAATTGTTTCTGTTAAAGAGTAAAATATCAATGTACAAGTGACTATATACGATTATCATCTATCCGGTACAAACCGGTTATAACTAAACCAAAATCTGATGTGTAAACCATCATCATACTTAATANTTTTAGTAAACTTGAGATTGAACAGAAACCAAAGCTCTCGTGAAGAAGATGAACACAAGAGAATCTGGAAATTATAATTGTTTCTGTTAAAGAGTAAAATATCAATGTACAAGTGACTATATACGATTATCATCTATCCGGTACAAACCGGTTATAACTAAACCAAAATCTGATGTGTAAACCATCATCATACTTAATACTCCCCCTCAAGATGTAAGCCATTACATCTTGGACATGAAGAAAACCATAGCAAGTACGAGGGGACTGAAATCGACATCAGAAAACATATCTGGTGGTCTTGGCAGTGAACCATAAAGGAAGTCAAGAATGGACCTACACCAAACGGAATGAGCCACAAGTATATGATTAGGAAAATCAAAGTCTCGGCTCTGTCCTTGTAGAGAGATTGAAGTAAAACTCTGTTGCCACTGCAGCTCATGATAGATAAAGACTGATTGATTGGTACCGAAGAAGATAACACAATCAACCAACTTAAAGTGAAGATCAAGCAGAAGAATGAACCAATTCAATTCCCAAGAGGCAGTAAGCAATGCTGTATATTCAGCTTCTGCTTCTGATCTTCTATAAACCACATCATGCTGCTTAGGTAGCCAATAAACTGAGACAAAACTTGAACCAGTCTTGAGAAAACGCAGAATGCATGAAGCAGCTAATAGATGTGTAGCATGAGATGCAAGCTTAGAATGCTTTAACTGTTTGACTCCATCGATTTGAAGACACGTCAGATACAGCTCCTTGAAACTACAAACATGACCATGTAGAACATGAGCAGAGAGCAACCGCAGTATTCTGTGAGAGAGAAAGTCCTCCGGTGGAGGCTGTTGCTGTTGAGTGACATATGATTCTCCGAACAGAACAACGGATGACATACCTAAAGAAGAAGCTGTCTCAGCTATACTGCAAAATGCAGAACAACCAGCAACATGTATCATCACACGAGCTTCACCACAACCATGATTCTGGTTAGGATTTGCTAACAAAAGCTCCCCCTCTCTATATGCATATATGTGTGCTAAACTAAGCCAGAACGCAGCAATATCATCACCATTTATGGTGAGCAAGGGGAGTAGGAATCTGAATACCATATCACTGTATATGCGCTGTGAACGAGAGGCAAAACAACTCTCCGGTGGTCTTGATAGAGAACCGTATGCGAGAATCACTTCTGGTGGAACAATGAGCTCGACCAAACCAGGAAACGATAGATACGAGTTCATCTCTAAATCAGCCATAAGATCGACTAAAACTGAAGAAAAAACGTCAGGAATGAAAGCGTTCCAAGAATACAAGCTTGCTTTACTAGTGTAACACCCAAACTTTCGAGAAATCACCATCAAAGCAGCTGTATAATGATCGGTGGAACAACCGAGAGAGAACCATGAAATTGGCAAATAATATGCACGATCATGAACATCTGAACAACCAAGAGCTGACAATGAGCCATAAGGCTTCGCTCGAGTCTTCGGAGATGTGATTACCGGTGAATCCGGTGTTGAACCTCGAAAATTACTCTGGTCTGGACATACAGAAGTAATCAGAGGTGATGAAAACTTCAGCGAATCCGTTGTAACCGTCCGATATGTGAGATTATCTCGCCATTTCACCATTGACATCGATTCAAGCTCAAATCAGAGAAACAAGCATAGATCGCATAGGAAATAGGAAGGAGAAGATCGAATCAGCTACAGATATGGATCGCGAAGCAGTGAATGATCCAAGTTCTGTTGACAACTGGTACTACACCAGAATCGAACTCGGTGAATGAAGACGATCCAACGAATCGCGAAGAGATTGGGGCTCTATGAAGATGATTTGATGAAACTGAAGCTTGAGTGACAGATCAAGCCGAGGAAGATGAAAAAAGTGATCGATCGATGAAGATCAATCGGAAACAAACGAAGCGGAAGATGATATGAGCTTGAAATCAGGTGTTTCTTTGCTCTGATACCATTTTAGTAAACTTGAGATTGAACAGAAACCAAAGCTCTCGTGAAGAAGATGAACACAAGAGAATCTGGAAATTATAATTGTTTCTGTTAAAGAGTAAAATATCAATGTACAAGTGACTATATACGATTATCATCTATCCGGTACAAACCGGTTATAACTAAACCAAAATCTGATGTGTAAACCATCATCATACTTAATANTTTTAGTAAACTTGAGATTGAACAGAAACCAAAGCTCTCGTGAAGAAGATGAACACAAGAGAATCTGGAAATTATAATTGTTTCTGTTAAAGAGTAAAATATCAATGTACAAGTGACTATATACGATTATCATCTATCCGGTACAAACCGGTTATAACTAAACCAAAATCTGATGTGTAAACCATCATCATACTTAATAGGAACTATCAGAGAAGGATCTTTTGAAAATACACGTTGAGAAGGCTAACAAAGTCCGTACACAGTAGTTCTGTCTCCTCGTTTCCTATTTTTCACTCTTTAACCCTGTAGCATCTAAACTAACTAACTAACTAACTAAGTTTCCTAGCAAAAAAAAGCATCTAAACTAAGTTCATCACCCAAAAAAAAACTCAGGTTCTTCATTCTTGGATTGGTTTTATGATAGATGAAAGAAATCTAGCAGAACATTTTTGGTGATTTGTTTTTTTTAGCGATGATATCGATTTGAATCGGTGTTTGATTTTGTGTGTGATGTTGCAGATTAGGGAACCACCGGCTTCACGGGAAGACGAGAGGAGCTGGGACGAAGGGAATGGTGACGAAGCTATCAATCAGAGTCATCGTTCTTCTACTCATCTGTACTCTCTCGCTTCTCTTCTCAGCTAACATCGGTCGTAATCCCGAGCCTAAGCGATCATCTAAGGTTGTTAGTTCACTCTTTAGTATGGATTTGATTAGTAATTGTGTAGCTGAAGATAACTCAGTTCTTCTTGTGTGTGTTGATCTAAGCCTTTTGATACTTGACTCGATTAATTTGGGAAGAGCTCTATGGATTTTGAGTAGTGATTTGTTAGCTGAAGATATCAGTTCTTCTTGTTTTGATCTTAGTCTTTGGTATTTGAGTATATATATATATATGTGGAAGAGCTTTTGGAGAATATGAATTTTGAGTAGCCTTTTGGTATTTTGAGTAGATTAAAGTGGTGGAAGAGCTCTGGGAGAGTGCTGATTCTGGTGGTTGGAGACCATCCTCTGCTCCACCTTCTGACTGGCCTGGCCTCGTATGTTCATCTCACGTTTTTGACCTGTAAATATTTCACTCCATGCTTTATCTCACAGAGTCTTAGGGCATTCCAGGATCGAACTGAATGATGATTAGTATCTTTTGATTACTTTTTGCAGCTCCTACGAAGGAGACAAATGGTTATCTTCGCGTTCGATGTAATGGTGGTTTGAATCAGCAACGTTGTGCGGTAATGTTTAATCAAGGTCGTTACTTACACTTGGATGTGACAGATATTAACGTGTGGATGATGATGTTGCAGATATGTAATGCAGTGCTTGCTCCCCGAATCATGAATGCTACACTTGTGTTACCCGAATTTGATGCGAACTCGTTTTGGGATGATGACAGGTATGTTTCTGTTGCAAAAAGGCAAGTTATAGTCTCTTTAGTAAATAGCATTTTTTTCTACAAAATATTAGATTTTCTGGAATTATTACTAGCTAGGTAATGCAATTTGTATGTCTTTCTAAGTATCTTCACACAGATAAATAAGTTCTAAGCTGGTTTCTTCTCTTAATGTTAAGGATAGGTGTTGATGTGCTCAGAAGAGCAAATACCATTGCATAACTTGTTTGAGTGTATATCTGCATTATCTGATATATGTTTGTTTTATTGCCAGTGGTTTCCAAGATATATATGATGCTGAACATTTTATTTAGACACCGAAGTATGATGTTAAGATTGTGAGGAAAATCCCCGATATTCACAGAGGAAATATATTATTTGCAAAATTTCATCAAAATCTGATAGAAATAAACAAATACGGTAGACATTTTAATCACTGAACCAAATACATGTATATATTTAAAATAATTACTAAACATTATCTATAATTAGGCAATACATATTATTTTTTGTCATTTACTTTTTTTTTGGTAAAATTGTCATTTACTTTTTACTGGACCAAGAATGTTTTTAGGAATACATGCTAGCAAATTGAATACTATGTTTAACAGTTAGTTTCATAATCCAGAGACGAACTGATCAAATATAATTTTGTGTTCTTATATCTATAAATATTTAGCCAACTACTATATTAAAACTTGATAAGTTATTAAAATTCTTATTTCAGGATTAACATTTTTCTTTTTGCAAAAAAAAAAAAAGAAACTGATGAATGTAAAAATGAAGAAATATAATTTAATATTTTAACCATTGAACTAAATGCATGTAAGTAGTTCACATGATTATCATTATCTATATTTAGACAATAAATGTAAAAGTTTTATTCTATTTTTATTTGGACTATTCTAGGAATGCATGCTTAGAAAATTGAATATGCCTTAAATGCTAAGTCTCATCATTTAGAACAAATAAAGAAAATCATCATTATTCATTTTTGTCTCTGTTATAAATTTAGAAAAGATTATATCAAAATTATGACTATTAAAATTGTGTATAGATATTTTTCCTTTTTTTGCTTCTTGACTTTATTTGATAAAACCGCTCTAGTTAATTTATAGCTCAATGATTCTGCACCACTCAATCATAACAACTTCTAACAAATGTTACAAAACTATATGCATAATTATTGTTTTATATAAAATCTGGGGTTTGAATAAAATTCACTGGCCTATATTTACCACAAATAAATATTAAAATACAAATTTTGAAAACTGATTTTTGTGGCCAATCTTCAAAATCTAATTTTCCTCTTCCCCTTATATATATGGTTGCTTCATTTCTCATTGCTCAAATCATCTCATCACCCTTTGGTAAATATACAAATCTGACCTATTTTATAGCCTCCCCATCTGTTTATTTGCTTCATCTGGGTTCCCCTTCATACAATACGCATCGAACGTACCCTCCATTATATTCTCTATGCACTGTTTCACCGTTAAAAGGAAACCAAAGCTTTGATTTTTATGAATATTCAAGGGTGAATGGTCAGCAAAGGTGAGAACTTTTTAATCATTTTTAAATCTTTCTCTACTATTAATTTTATCATCATCATTTTATCGTATGCCCTTTGTTTATATACTATCATCGTTTTCTCTGTTGCATTGCATCTATTGAAAATCTATTCTTTGTCTGGTCATATAAACAGAGAACTAATTGTTGTTGGACATTAAGTTGTCTTTATATGTCTCTTAAGGATTGTCTCTGTTTGTGTTCATACAAAGATCCCCTTATTGACACAGAAAGAGACTGGGTGGGGCTTAGATGTGTGTCGTTGTCATTGAAACCTTTTAGAAAGTGTAGTTGTTTTTACATTTAATGGCAATCTGTATATTCATTTTTTTATTTTGCATATAAGAAACAGGACGAGGAGAATCTATGGAGAGGCTCTCTGCAGCTTTTTCCTTGAAGCCTTTATTGTTCTGCATCTAGACTTGTTGTCATCATTACATCATATATGTGGATAAATATCATCTGCTTGTGTATCTTTGAGTTTTAGATATGCAGAGCCTTAAAGTCTCTGACTTTTTGTTTCATTAATAAGCAGAAAAGTAAATGCTGAAGAAGGTTTTAGTGGTTGGTAAAGCGGGGTTAATGGTCTTTATTAAAGTGTTTACCTTTTTGTATTTTTTTTTTTTGTGTGTAAAGGGATGGCAGCATCAAGCTCTTGTCTTAAGCAAGGGTCAGTACCTATGGACAATGTTCGCATTACACCTGAAGCAACTTATGAAGCTGTTGTTGCAGACCCTAAGCTCTTCATGAGTTCATTAGAAAGGCTACACTCTCAATTGGGCACTAAGTTCATGTAAGTAAGTTTATAGTTATTACTAACCAAATATGTTCTTGCGTATTGCTTGCATTGGTTATTTTGCTTCTTGCTTGATGTGCATTTCAAAGAGCAGGATTTGAGATTTTGGGTACTATAAACATCGGTTTAAGAACCTTAATCATCTTTCTAGAATTTAGAAGCCTAAAAATTCTTCAAAATGTTTTGGAGCCAAGGCCAATGTTTCAGTGGACACATTTAGCTTCTAATTCTAACGATTCTTCATGTGATTATAGGGTTCCTATTATAGGAGGGAGAGATTTGGACTTGCACAAGCTTTTCATTGAGGTAACATCTCGTGGTGGAATCAATAAGGTATGTTATTTGAAACTTATAGTCTTAACTTCAAGCTATACACATTGTTCTTGGGATCATACTCCATCTTTGTTACTACTGCAGATACTTCATGAAAGGAGATGGAAAGAAGTGACAGCAACATTTGTCTTTCCTCCAACAGCAACAAACGCATCATATGTTCTGCGCAAATACTACTTCTCCTTGCTTAACAACTATGAGCAAATCTATTTCTTCAGATCCAACAGCCACATTCCTCCAGGTTATTAACTCATTACAACAAACATTTTTTTATTGAGTTAACTTAACACTATTTCTTCTGTAGACTCTCTCCATACCCCATCAGGGCTTATGCAGGGGGGAACCATGAGACCTCCACAAGAACTTCAAGGTTTAACCTTCACACCACAACCAAGGATCAACCCTGGAGGTCTCTCTCTAAACAAATAGTCTAACTTGAGAAACAATGACTTACTAAACTGTACTCAGTTATTGTTTCAGGAGTTTTAAATGGTGCAGATGTGATTGGGGTTGTGGATGGGAAGTTCGAAGATGGTTACCTTGTAACTGTAACAGTGGGATCAGAGCAGCTTAAAGGAGTTCTCTATCAGCTTGTTCCAGAGAACACAGTCGCTGCTACTCATCAAACTCCACAACAGAGTCATCATCATGGTGGTTTCCCCAACACTTGGAACAACAATGGTCCTTATCCTCAGGGGGTTGTTACTGGAGGAGTGACAAAACGCCGCAGGAGAAGGAAGAAGTCAGAGATCAAAAGACGTGATCCTGCTCATCCTAAACCTAACAGAAGCGGTTATAACTTCTTTTTCGCGGAGCAGCACGCCAGGCTGAAACCTCTGCATCCCGGTAAGGATAGGGAGATCAGCAGGATGATTGGTGAGCTCTGGAACAAGCTCAATGAACAAGAGAGATTGGTGTACCAAGGGAAGGCAATGGAGGACAAAGAGAGGTACAGAACGGAGATGGAAGACTACAGAGAGAGGCTTAGGACAGGACAGCTTATAAGTAACGCTGTTCCTTTGCAGCAGAGGCTTCCTGAGCTGAACGTAGAAATTGCTGAAGCTGATGTTCCAACAGAAGAAGGTGAGGAAGAAGAAGAAGACGAAGAAGAAGAAGGGGATTCAAGCGGTGTCTCAGGGGAAAGCGAGCCACATGAATCTGATGCTGACATGGAGGAGCCATCTCTTGTTCCTTCAGGTGTAAACCTAAACCCTAATCCGAGTGAGATAGTGGTAGCTCCTAAGGAGAAAGCCAGTGATGTTGTTGTGATGGTAACATCTCCGGTGAAGAAAGCTGAAGAGCCGCCGGCTGTGGTTGTGGCTGCTCAGCAGAAGTGAAGATTTTTTCTATTGTTTTGGTTTTGGTGCCGCAGGTAAGAAGATTAGAGAGATGAAGTTTTTTTTATATGGGTTACTTGTGACATTGTCTTTTATTTTATTCTAGACTTCTTCCGCAACAAGGCATGTTTAGGAGTGAATTGTTTTAACATTTGGTTGGTCTTTTCTTTTGGAATGCTAAAACTCTTATTTTGTTGCATAGGAGGTTTATATATATTTCAAATTAAGGCATTGTTGTGGTCAGCGACTTAAAGCTTATATATCAAGAAATAAAATCCAACAAGATAAAACAACCTCAAGCTATCTAATTCATATTGTTTTAGACGTTTAGTTTATTATTATATATATAAAATAGAACTAAATAAAAATTTATAGTACATAATTTGAGCTTAGCACGGACAAAGACAGTTTAATTAGTAAAAGAAAAATTGAACAATTTCTTATTTTTTTAATCAGGTTTAAAGATTTTGTGTATCAAATATTCACTTGTATTTCTATATTGCAAATGTATACATAAAACATTAGTTGTATTAAAGCATAGATGAACTAGTATTTTGAGAATGAGAAGCAAGAGAGAAAGAACCTTTTTATGATAAAATCTATAAACTGAAACGGAGAAACTTTAGCAGAGGCAGCAGCAGCAGAGGAGGCGGCAGCAGCAGATTTAATCTTTTCCTTGTCTAGTTCAGCTTTGAGATTCGACAGAGTCAATTCCACATTGATGACCCTATCTTCGAGTTGTAGGACCCTAGATCCATCAGAAAGTGTTGGTTTCTTGCACTCCACGGAAAGTTCCTCAATTTTAGGATTTAACCAGTCGACTTTGAAGCCTGCTTCCTCCAGTGCAGCCAGCTCGCTTTGAGCATTGCATAGTTCAGCCAAAGACAAGCTCTGCGGAGACTTGCTCAGTGTTTCGACAATGCGGAGAATATTCCTATACTTTGTTTTGACCGCTTGGTTCTCCGGTTCGAAATCTACTGCAAAGTCTGGGTCATGTAGGACATTCTGGCTCAGTAGTGCAATCTGCCATAACAGAAAGAGAGAGATACATTGTTGTTATGCTAATCATTACCAAATGGGATTTACTAAAGATTAGGGTTAACTTACTTGCGAAGCAGGGATCTGAAAACCGTTGAAATCTATCATATCATTCTCAGTTGACTTTCCTTGATGAACAACTTCAAGGACTTTGATGTAGAGTTTAATGGTTAGTCTGTTCTTCTTCAGAAAACCTTTTTCTTGGAATTTGGAATGAGGCAGCGTCTTATTGTAATACCAGGATGATATATCCTTGCAGAACAATGAGCTTTCTTCAGCGTCTGCAAGATTTTTTCTTCTTAATCAATCAATCAGATAATCACACGTAACATGTTTGATAATTTACCAGGTGATCTGTATAGCTCTTTTCCGGATTGATTCAACAAAACAAAGTAAAAACTAGCTCTCCTTTTCCATCCAGGCTTCAATGAATCAGGATTCAAAACGTGCAGGTAGAGACACAAGTGATCAGATTCAGACTGTCCCTTGGGATACACACAAACACACCTAGGAGAAAAAAACCCTTTTTACATGTAAAAAAAAATAATAAAAAAAAAAATCAGCTAAAAAAGAATGTGATTTTTTTCCCTATATGTTTACCATTCACAGCCGCCGCTTGAGAAGTTAGGAGTTCTTATCACATCATTCTTCTCAGAGAAGTTGTCTATCTCCCAACTCAAGATATCCTCCATCTGTCGATGTCTCCTTAAAAATATTGATCCGCTAGTTTTGATTTCTGGTATTCAATTCATGCATCATATTATCATATATATATATATCAAACGTGTCTGTTTTTCATGTAATATTTCTAGATTAACACTTTTACAGCTTATCAATCAATATACACTCGTGTTACAGATAACTCGTGTTACAGATAAGACAAGGCCATCAGAAATCAGGGAAAAAAAAGAGAATCTGAAAGCCAAACATTCATACAGGAAAAAGAGAGGGGATGAGTTATACCTAATCGAAGCGGTAGCAGAGAGAGTCTTCGCAAGGATGATTAATTAGTTTTATATTCCTCGGGTTAGAAAATGAAAACAATCTAGGTCGAAAGCAATAATAATACCCCCACTCATCAATCTCAACCATCCGTTTGATTTTACAAAATAGTCTCAACCGTTGAATTTATGTTTACTAAAGGCCCGCCCAAACTGATACTATAAAGAAGGCCCATGGAGGACAAAGAGAGGTACAGAGTAACAGAACTGAGATGGAAGATTACAGAGAGAAGCCTAGTAGGACAGGACAGCTTATAAGTAACGCTGTTCCGTTGCAGCCAGAGCAAAACGTAGCTGAGGAAGGCGAAGAAGAAGGGGATTCGAGCCACATGAATCTGATGCTGCTGACATGGAGGAGCCATCTCTTGATTATTCCTCCTTCAGGTGTAAACCTAAACCCTAATTCGACTGAGATAGTGGAGTGAGAAAGCTAGTGATGTTGTTGTGATCTCCAGTGAAGAAAGCTGAAGAGGCGACTGTGGTTGTGGCTGCTGAGTAGAACTGAAGATTCTTATTTGAACAGCGCGCCACAGGTGAGAAGTTTACATTGTCTTCACTTTTTATTTTAGGTTGTTTCTTCCGCAACAAGGCATGCATGTTTGTTTAGGAGTAAACTTTTAAAACATTTTGTTGGTCTTTTGGAATGCTAAAAGAAAGTCTTGTTTGTTGCATTGGAGGTTCTGCCTTATTTTAAGTTTCAGATCTATTGACATTATATTATTTTGACTTGTAGCACATGGACAATGATTAAACAAAAAATTGAACTTGTAAAATACTCGAAGAACAAAAATTACAGGAATAATTAGTTCAAAACTAGTTCAAATTTTTAAAAGTCCAAAGTCATTGTGTTGGTCTTTTGGAATGCTAAAAGTCTTGTTCTTTGCAAAGGAGCTTCTTATTTATTTTATTTTTATCAATTTTATTACATCTAAATAATTAATTAATAGAGAAAATAATTAGAATAGCACTAAAATTTTTTTTATCACAAATATAGCATCTGAGAATAAAAATGACCAAAATAACACTTAATGTTTTATTAAATATACATTTTTACCTCTTGGGTTAACTAATCCTAAACTTTTTTTTGTTTAGAGTTGAGGAGTGGGGTTTTGGGGATAGAATTTCAAATTGAAAAAAAATAAAAAAATAAACTTAAAATTTTCAAAATAAAAAGTGCTACTTTAGTCATTTTAATTTTCATTTTGTGATAAAAACTTAAAAGAGTGTTATTTGAGAGAATTGTACATAATAATACTGCAAAGGGAAAAGAATAATCAGATAACTATGTTCTTAGCTGAAAAATACAGAGCTAATCCTTATTAAAAAAAAAAGAATTCAATACCCTAAGAACAAAAAAATATTAATAGTGAGTTCAAAACTTAAAATCCTTATTTTTATAATTTTTTTGTTATAAAAATCACCTGGAAAAGTTGTGTATATTATATATGTTTAGTACCATTGCACCAGTGTTATAAAAAAAATATTATATATGTTTCTACTACGGTCGGGTATAAAACTGGTTGTAATTAGGGCCGGTTAAGGAAGAACCAATCAATTGGTCTGGTCTGGTGGGGGAGCCTAATCATCGGTAGCGAATCCTTTTCACATGACTGACTCTCGATCTGTAACGGCGGCAACAGCAGCAACGACGAAGACATAAGTGACATCCTTATTCTCGATTCTTCTTTAAATCCTCTGCTTCGAGGTTTTTGTCGGTAAAATCTCTCTCAATTCTTTTTTTTTTTCTTCTTAATGCTTTATTTACCGATTACGATTGTGGTTCTGCTGAGCAGTAATAAGATTGAATCTTAGCTTTTAGTTCGTTAGATTCTAGATTTTCGGTTTCTAGTCACACCACAAAGCTTTGAACTTTTTTTTTTGGTAACTCATTTTTCTTTTGTTAGTTAGGAACAAGTCAGTCATGGGGAAGAAAGCGAAGAAGAAAGCTCCAACTCCTCCTCCTACTAAGGAGAAGCTCTCTCAACACCCTAGTGAAATAGCTGTTAAGGAGAAACAAGCTTGCGTGCATTTCGACAAGGGTCTCAACTTAGATAAAGTGTTGGAGAAGATTAAGTCTTCCGGACAGATCAAGTGTCATGAATGCAAGGAAGGTGTCAAAGGACCTAAATCAAAGGGTGCTGGTGGTAAGGGGAAACAACATGCTTCTTCTTCTTCTTCTTCTGATAGAAAAGCTATTTGGGTTTGTTTGGAATGTGGCTGTTATGTTTGTGGAGGTGTTGGTTTGCCAACTGGTCCGCAGAGTCATGTTCTCAAGCATATCAGAACGACTCGTCACCGTTTGGTGATTCAATGGGAAAACCCTCTGTTGAGATGGTGCTTCCCCTGCAATTCGCTTCTCCCTGTTGTAACCGGTGATGAGAAGAAAGATGTGTTGTTGGAGCTCGTAAAACTTATGAAAGAACGGTCTTTAAACAGTTTAGCAGCTCCATCATCTGATGCCGAAGAAAAGCAGAGCTCAGGGAGTGGCAGTATCTTTAGCGACATCAAATTAGAAAGTGCTGCTGTGACTAGTGGTGTAGAAGCAAGAGATGGTTACGTTGTTAGAGGTTTAGTCAACCTTGGGAACACATGTTTCTTTAACTCTATAATGCAGAATCTTCTCTCTTTGGATCAATTACGAAGCCACTTCTTGAAGGAGGATGTTTCTGGTGTTGGTCTGCCTCTTGCTTCTTCCCTGAGGAAACTATTTGCTGAGACGAAACCAGAGGCGGGTTTAAAGAGTGTTATAAACCCTAGAGCCTTTTTCGCGACTTTCTGTGCTAAGGCGCCACAGTTTAGAGGATATGACCAGCATGACAGCCACGAGTTGCTACGTTGTTTGCTAGATTCGTTGAGTACTGAAGAATCTGCCTGGAGAAAGAGGCGTGGTGGTGTTTCTGATAATGACGAGAAGTCTACTATTACTCTCGTGGATTCTGTGTTTGGAGGCGAAACTTCGAGCATTGTTTCTTGTATTGAGTGTGGGCACTCCTCAAAAGTCTATGAGCCGTTTTTGGATCTCTCTTTACCTGTACCGTTTAAGAAAACTCCTCCTAAGAAGCAGCAAGCCCTTTCTCGAGCAAAGAAAGCTAAGCTTCCACCGAAAAGAGTCTCTAAGAATGTGTCAAAGGTGAATAAAGTTCGGAAAGTCCTCCCAACCAAGGCTTTATCGGAACCCAGCTCACCTGGAAAATCTGTAGTTACCACAGCTGATTCGGACAATGGTGCCGTTTCAGACACTCCTTCTGTTATAACCCTTGACAATAAGCCGGCATCAGAAAGTGTAACACAAAGTGATGTCGATTTTGATAGCTTCTGGTTGGACGTCATTGCACCAGAAACCTCTGGAGATGAGAAAAATCTTGATAAGGAAGATAGCGTTATAGATAAAACCCCAACAGATGAAGCTAGTCAAATTGTTTCATGTCCAAATATTCCTGCCATTACCTCAGTTTCATTAGGTGATCAGACTCCGGAAGGTAACACAGAGAGACTGGTGCAAGATAGTGATGAGTTTGCAAAGGCAGAACCCATTTTAGATGAAAAGGATGTACAAGCTACGCAGCCTGATGAATGCACAGCGACAAGCGGTATCTCTGCCGAAATTACTCAAGATAGTTGCATTGTTGGTGCTCCTGGTCTAGGGGAAAGTTCATCCTCGGTGAATCCATGGGATGAGGAAGACCTTCCGTTGGTGGTTGCAGATTCGCAAGTTCTATACTTGCCATACAAAGAAAACATAACAGCTGTGGAAGGTGAGGGTGAGGCATCATCATCTTCATTTGTTACTGGTTATCAAGAACCAGAAAACAATGATTTTGTTGGTTTAGGCGGTTTATTCGATGAGCCTGAGGTTGCTGAAGGGCCTGTTTTTGGTCCTCCTTGTAAGGCTGAAGCTTCTTCAGGAGTTGTTGGTTTTATGGCGTTCAGCAGCGAGTCTGATCCAGAAGAAATCGATGATTCAGATTCACCAGTGTCTGTAGAGAGGTGTTTAGCTCATTTCACTAAGCCTGAGGTTTTGTCTGACGACAATGCTTGGGACTGCGAGAACTGTTCAAAGAACCTTAAACTCCAACGGTTGAGGGAAAAGAGAAATTCAAGCAACACAAGCAACGGGTGGGTAAGTGAAAATGAAGATGGAGTTTTGGGAGAAACCGATATGAAGCAAGATCCAAGTGATAGTTCTAGTAGTGTCAAGGATAATGGAAGAGAAGCTAATGACAGTGAATCTGAAGAAGATTCAGAGAAAGTGATAACAGTGAAAAGAGATGCAACTAAGAGAGTACTTATAAACAAAGTTCCACCTGTCTTAACCATTCATCTAAAGCGATTCAGCCAAGACCTGCGTGGTAGGCTAAGTAAGTTAAATGGTCATGTTGCTTTCAAAGAAGTCATCGATCTTGGACAATATATGGACTCAAGGTAACATAGCATCTCCTCTCTTCTACATGACCTGTTTTTCTTAGTCTTTCACAAATATGACTCTGTTTCTTTGTTCTTTTGTTGGTTCGTTTAGGTGTAGTAGTGGAGAAGACCCGCCCGTTTACAGATTAGCTGGATTGGTTGAGCATTCAGGGACAATGAGAGGAGGTCATTACGTGGCGTATGTTAGAGGAGCTAGTAAGAAAGTTGACTCCTCCTCGAGTGTGTGGTATAACATAAGCGATGCACATGTCCGTCAGGTTTCATTGGACAAGGTTCTGCATTCAGAAGCCTACATCTTGTTCTACGAACGGATCGTCTGAGAATTTTTTTTTTTGCAAAACTTAGTTTTGATCTTCCATTCAACTACAGGGAACGTTTTTGACGATCACATTATATCAAATACACCATTACTTGTGTTTTATTATGATTATGTTTCAGAGTTACACTATACTATATGTATTATCAGAACCATATATGGATATATTTGAGGCTCTCAACTGTGTTACATTTCACGAGAATGCACAGGTTTGAAGAATCAATGTTGATCTTCCATTAACTTGTTATATACGTTTCTAGCTGTTGCCCTAAATGATTAATATTTCAACTTTGACTTGAGACGACACCGTTTTGACTTGAGAATCCCTTTGACTTCTTTTTTTTTTTTCTTTTAGTCCTCGTTTTCTTATTCTTTAGTCTTAATAGATCTCTGCTTAGTTTCTCCGCGAGAACACCTTCAATTACCTCGTCGAAGATGGATTCAGTAAGTCACTATCGTTTCATCTCTCGAATCGTGTAGATTGTGCCAAGCTTCTAGGGTTTTATCTGGTTACTTGTGGCATAAGACATTTTCTTCACTTTTATTTTAGGTTGTTTCTTCCGCAACTAGGCATGTTTGTTTAGGAGTGAACTTTTAAAACATTTTGTTGGTCTTTTGGAATGCTAAACAGTCTTTTGGAGGTTCTGCCTTATTTCAAGTTTCAGATTTATTGACATTATATTATATTGACTAGTAGCACATGGATGCAGCCAGCAATGATTAAACAGAAAAAAAAAAATTTGAACTTGTAAAATACTCGAAGAACAAAAATTACAGGAATAATTAGTTCAAATTTTTAAAAGTCCAAAGTCATTGTGTTGGTCTTTTGGAATGCTAAAAGTCTTGTTCTTTGCAAAGGAGCTTCTTATTTATTTTATTTTTATCAATTTTATTACATCTAAATAATAATACTGCAAAGGGAAAAGAATAATCAGATAACTATGTTCTTAGCTGAAAAATACAGAGCTAATCCTTATTAAAAAAAAAAAATCCAATACCCTAAGAACAAAAAACATATTAATAGTGAGTTCAAAACTTAAAATCCTTATTTTTTTGTTATATATAAATCACCTGGAAAAGTTGTGTATATCTACTCTATTAAAATAGAGTCATTCTTTTTATTTACTGATACAAGTTGTCATTTAAATTTGGACTCTTTTTAGAATGCTACAAATAATATAAGTCATATAATTGACTGAACCATATTACTTAAATAAAATCAACACAATTAATGTAAAGAGACGACCCTAATGTAAACTACCTTCAAAATATGGCAGGTATCTATGTATATACCGAAAACACATATTTTCTCCTACAAATATGAAATGTTCTAAAAGAATATATATCATCAAAATATGGAATATGAAAATCTACTAATTATACTTAAATTAAACCAGTGGTTATTTATGGAATATAGTCTTGGGATTACTTTTATTTTTTGAACAAATTATATAGTTTGGTTTTTGGGCTTAGTATTAAGAAAAAAACTCTAAAAACATTGAATAAACTTTTCACCTTAAAAGATAAAAAATCAATTATTATTTTCAGACCCAAAAGGTATTTAATATTTTTAACAAAACAAAATTATCTATTATTAATCATTTATTTAAATCATGTACTTTAAAACATGTTAATATATTTTTTTATNTATATAGTTTGGTTTTTGGGCTTAGTATTAAGAAAAAAACTCTAAAAACATTGAATAAACTTTTCACCTTAAAAGATAAAAAATCAATTATTATTTTCAGACCCAAAAGGTATTTAATATTTTTAACAAAACAAAATTATCTATTATTAATCATTTATTTAAATCATGTACTTTAAAACATGTTAATATATTTTTTTATATTTTAAATAACAATCACTTTGTTTTGATAAATTTCAATGGTAACTTTTAAATAATTTATTGTTTTATTTTTCTTAAATAAGTTACTGACTAAAAAAATGTAAAGCAAAACCAAAAACCAAATTTAAAAACTAAAATCCAAAACTAAAAGCTGAAAACACATGTTATATTTTTTTGCTTTGTTTATTTACAAAATAAACTATTTCAAATTTTTTTAAAAAAATTTGTTGTCATCTTTTCAGTTTTGAATTAGATGTTCGATTATTTGAGATTTGTTTGTTGGTAATATTAGTTCAAACTAACTCAGCGGGTTTAAAAATTAAAAACCCAAACCAAAAACTGAAAATGAAAAGTAGAAACTTAAAAACTAAAAACCAAAAACCAAAATCTAAAAGTAAGAACTGAAACTAAAAACTAATGAAAAATAATCATCACCACAAATTTTGGTGAACTGATTTTATATCAAAATATTCTTTAAACTAAGACAAAACCCAATTATATAAATTTTTAATCAAAAAAAAATTCCGCGCTTTGATCAAAATCTAGTATTATATTACTCCCTCCGTTTCATATTAAGTGTCGTTGTAGAGAATTTTTTGCGTTACAAAATAAGTGTCGTTTTCGGTTTTCAATGCAAAATTTATTAATTTTATTATGTAATTTGTTTTTCTATTGGTTAAAATATGGTTAGGTGTATGGGTAACTGTGATTTTATATAGGAAATATGTAAAATTAATTGTTTCCTTAATCCGTGTGCACAGCTGTAGAGTGACATTTATAATGAAACAGAGGGAGTATGTTTCTACTACGGTCGGATATAAAACCGGATGTAATTATGACCGGTTACGGAAGAACCAATCAATTGGTCTGGTCTGGTGGGGAGCCTAATCATCGGTAGCGAATCCTTTGCACATGACTGACTCTCGATCTCCTCCTTTTGTGACGGCGGCAACAGCAACGACAAAGACATAAGTCTCCCCCTCAGTGACATCCTTATTCTCGATTCTTCTTTAAATCCTCTGCTTCGAGGTTTTTGTCGGTAAAATCTCTCTCAATTCTTTTTTTTTTTTTCTTCTTAATGCTTTATTTACCGATTACGATTGTGGTTCTGCTGAGCAGTAATAAGATTGAATCTTAGCTTCTAGTTCGTTAGATTCTTGTAACAGTTTTAGTAAAGTAACCGATAGATCCGATCCAGAAGCTCACCGCGAGCCCGAGAACCGGTAAACCAAAGCCTAGAGGATGACCACGAGGGAAGAAGGGTCAACCCGAAGAACAGAGATTCAATGGTGGATGATGATGAACATCAAGAACAGAGAGTTAGGGTTTAAGAAGATTGTTTTAATGTTTGATTGATTAAATTCTCCCGTAAAGAGAAAGAGATTACATATAATGTTTATTAAACCAAAAAGCTAAACCGAAAGGCTAAACCAGAAATTAAAGAACTAAACCAAAGGATAAAGGTTTATCCTGTTACAATACTCCCTTGTTGAGAACATCCTTGTCCTCAAGGATGATAAGAACTTGGTGCTGAAACCATCATAACATCTCTGATGATCATTCTCTGCGAACATCTCTGGTGGTCGTTGGAGATGAAATACTTCATTGACACAAAATCCAGTAAAGCAACGATTAATATAAGCATGATTACCAGCCATTGAAGTAAGCTCCAGCTTTTGTACCTCCCTGCAATATCTGCTTTGTCCACACTTAATCCTGAGAGCTTGTTGTTGTGTCTCATTCATGTCTCTCCCTTGTCGCTCATTGTTGTACTTGAATATCCAAGCTTTTGACTGAGACATCTCAATAGTTCTTGTGACTTCAACGTAAAATGATACCACCTCTTCTCTTGCTTGGCCAGTGGTGTAACAGCTCAACATATCTTCATTTCTAGTATCAAATGTAGCCTCATCTTTTAGCTCCAGTTCTGCAACCATTGGGAATGGTTTATATCTCCATTTATGTTTCACTTGGAACATCTCTGTACCAAAGAGACTGAAGCCTGTGTGATTTTGCATTCCTTCATTTGACCAATTTATATACTCGGTGAAACCCTTTGTTATGCCGCATCCTGAAAACAGTGCAACCGTCACGTCCGTAATAGATTGCCGAAGGAGTCTCAAACGTATATCAGTAGCTACCAATTCTTTCACAGAGTTTGAGATGAGCAACTCATATCCAGCTTGAATTTCTTTTGCTGGTTTAAGTAACAGCACCAAACTCTGTATACAAGTCTCATGAAACTTTGAGGTTAACTTCAATGTGCTGCTACGATTCTGATAAGTTTCTGGCCAATCCAAATGAGCTGCTTTAGCTGACAACCCGCCAGGATCCCATACACATTCAGCCTCAAAACCGTGCATGCAGTTTCTTAACCCGTTAACAAGATGGATTGCATCCGGTGAACACACCATTTTCTCATAAGCAGTATGGAGATATGCTCTTGGTTGTCTCCCAGAAGTAAAACCCCAACGAGAGTGGAATCCATAATTGACTTCAGCCTCAGAAGTTTCTCTTAGCTTCCATTTAACTTCACTTTCCAATATAGTGTAATCTTCCTTGGAAGGAACAAAGTTGAATCTCACATCAGCCTTAAGCTCTTTCACTCTTATGAATATTCCCGTCGTTTCATCATCTAGTAGCTTCTCGTTTGGATCAGGAGGTTTATGAATCTTAGGGCCAAACTCAGATGCACTAACTAGTAATCTCGGCAAGTCCTGAAACTCTGAAAGCAGTTCCTTAGCTTGAATATGAAGTTGTCTCATCAGTCTCATATCTGACGTTGCTGCATAAAACCACAAGCTCTTACATTTCTCTGGCCAGTACCACTGAGTTTCTTTAGCTGTTAACCCACCTGGCTCCCATATGCGTTCAGCTATTTTCTCTGTTGATGTAATCTTTCCATCAGCATGTTGTCTATTATCTTCCCACAACAACATACTTTTTCTTCTGCTATATGAATCATCAATAACAGGGAACTCGATGTTGTCCTCCAAGAGAACAATACCAATATCATCATCGATCTCAGTAGGAAATTTACCAATAACATGATCCAAAACTTGAGTAGCCATGACATTAGAAGCTTCAAGTAACTGTTCCCCAACTGCAACTGTTTCTTCTTGGGCTTCCACTCCAAGGCTATACTGAGGGTAGACCGCTTCCAAGGCTGTGATAGCTTCTTCTTGAATTATTTTTGTTGATATCTCAACAATTTCTTCGACAACAACATTTTCAACCTTCTCTTCATCATCACGTTCAGTCACAAGAATTCGTAAACCCTTGTGCTTCAGTTGACAGTGACCTGGGGTATCAAACTCTTCACAAAACACACACAATCCCATTTCCATTCTTGCATACATCTCTTCACATGAGTACTTTGGGAAAAAAGT